TTGAACGTGATAACATGTGATTTGCATTGATTTCGGAAATATGATTTTTTAAAATATATAAAATGCATAACTTAATAACTTACTTTATAGATTAGTTTCAGTTTTAAATATTTTGCTATAATATTTATAAAAAATATTTTAAGTATTAATTATTTTAACAAAATTTTAAACAATAATTTAGCACGTATTTTTAGTACTAATTAAATTTAATAAATCAAAAGTATTTATATTAAATTTATATTTCATTAGATGAATCTACTTTAGATTAATATATTTAGATGAAATAAAGTAATGAAACATTGCAAAGTAAATCTTATGCTGACTTACTTTGCAATTTAAACGGATCTAGACTACTCAGATTCTTGAAAGGGCAGATTTAGTCTCTTTACATTCTAAAAGTAATGCTGAGGAACTGTGAGGAAAATTCTAACACGACCACGTCTAAAAGTGGTCATATCATGACGTTTCACAACGTCGACAAATTTCCAAGATGCAAAGGCAAATATTTTGCGTCTTCGCAACGTTGTAAAGACGTCGTAAAAGTTACCACGGCCACTTTGCAGCCTCTCGGACCAATTTGCAACGTCTTTGCAATGTGGTGTACTACTTAAGACATTGTGCCTCTGTAGTTTGAATTTCATGTCTCTCAGTTGATTTTTTGCAGAATTACAGTCAAAAATCGTTACTTAAATTTTGTACACTGGCATATATATAAATAAATATATATATATATATATAATGATAGCGCAAATTTTGGAAGCACTATCCGCAGAAATACTAATTGCTTAGATACTTGATGCTTAGAGCGTCCATCCACGTTTGAAGAAGAAGCAGTCGAGCTGGATTAAATTCCTTTTATTTATTTAAATTCCCATTTTTGTGGCCACAATTCACTTGGCACTCCATTCGTTCCCATTAAAGAACATTTACAATTTTGATATTATTGCCATAGAAGCGAAAGTAGCAGCACACACACGATTGCAGAAAGGCGTCTGGCCAAGAGGAAAGCACAAGCAAAAGTGACGCATCAGTTCATAGAAAGTGAAAAGTTTCAGTTTTTAGTTTTGGTTTACAATTTGGTGATTGGTCAAGAGGCATGTACATTAAGGGTTACCTAAGATCGCATGATTAATTTGAATGAGGCAGTTTAGATTTACAGCGCTATTTTTAGGACAGAGAGATAAAGTTTCCAAATGAAATAAAAATAAAAGAGGTTTTAGTGAATTAAATTTAGAAGTTTGCTTTTATATTTTTATTTTGCACACACACACACATATATATATATGTATATATATATTGGTTACAGCCGAAAACAACGCAGATGAAAACGTCGCGGAGAAAATGCAAGGAGAAAACGTCGTGGTACAAAACATCGTGGGAGAAAACATCGCAAAGAGAAAATATCGCAGTTCTAAAATATCGTGGTACAAAATATTGTGGTCGAAAATAAAGCGGTTCAAAAACTTCGCAGTTTAAAAACATCTTTGGAGAAAATATCGTATTAAAAAATAAAAGTACCTGCAAATCATCGCATGACGATAACATCGCATACATGCGTTTGTGTTTTTTTAATCGCGTAGTGACGTATTATATAACTGACTTTCGTTATAACTAACAAATCGACAGCCAATAAATTAATTGCACGTTAAACATGAAAATTTCAACGATAATTTAAAAATAAATGGAAACAAAACAACATGTAATTTTCATTATAACAATATCAGATTAACAAATGTGAAAGAAAATACACTCACTTCCAAAAGTTAAGCATGGAGAGGAAAATGCTAACTTCCGGAAGCCAATCAGAATTGAAGAGGATGCAATTCGATGCAGAGGTAGGTGGAAGTATGCAAATATGTTAGGTAACAGCCAATCATGCTTTCATGTCAGGAAATATGCAAAAAAGCAGTCTTATAAGAAGGCAGCTTTATGAAGGGTTGTAAGTGCTGATAGAAGGTGTTTAAAACTTTCGTACAATTTATTTTCAAGACATACGAGTTTCCATGACTTCCAGAAGACGAATGGAAGATTCTGAGCGCTGGCGTGCTGTGGGGCGCATTAAAGCAGGACAGTCGATCACAGATGTTGTTCTTTTCTTCGGCGTTCATCATTCTGTAATTTCACGTTTATGAAAACAATTAAAAACCACACAGACAGTTGTCCGAAGGCCCGTAGCCGGTCGCCCCGCAGAAGATCTATATATTGCTATTGTAGCCAAGAGGAATCGCAGAGCGACCTCCACACGTGTGACATCTATGGTTACAGCGTCCATTGGAAAGGCGATATCTGCAGCTAGTGTACGTCGAAGATTACATATGAGTGGACTGTACGCCTGGGTAACTCGAGTTCGTGTTCCTCTATCCGTCCAATCAAGAAAGGCACGATTACAGTGGTGCCGGGAACATGTCAACTGGAATGTGTCTGACTGGGGCAATGCAATGTTTACTGATGAGTCAAGATTTGCTCTGGAGTCAGATGACAAGCGTATAAGGATATGGCGTGAACAATAAACATGCAACCAGTCATAAAACAACACCGAACATCACGCATTCCGTGACGGAAGCATTATGGTGTGGGCAGGGATTTCATTAGGATACCGCACCGACCCTCACTTCTTTAAGCGGGGTTCTTTGACGGCTGTCCGGTATCGAGATGAAGTCCTAGAACCCATTGTGAGATTGTGCGCTGCAGCAGTTGGCCCTACTTTTGTTTTAATGGACGATAACGCACGTCGCCATAAAGCTGAGATTGTCGATGACTACCTGGAGAGTAAAACGATTGCGCGTATAGCGTGGCCAGCATATTCGCCCGACCTTAATCCCATTGAAAATCTTTGGGATGCTCTCGGCCGTGCTGTATCTTTATGTTTCCACCTCCAGCCACTGTTATTGAGCTAGAAACTGCTCTACAAGAAGAACAGCGATTGCTTATTCTGCGGTGGTTGACCACCTAATTGAAAGCATGGTCACAAGGTATAAGCTTTGTATACAGATGAGGGATGATCACATACAGTATTAATGTCCTCTGTTTTCATTTTATACTGTTTATTTTCCCTTTTCTACATAATTCTGTTCAAGTCTCCAGTATGTCATTATTTGATAACTTACAAAAATTTAATATTGTCTTCATTTCTGTATATAATTATTGATTTTGTTTTATGCATAAATATATATGCTACTTTCCTGCCGAATTTTGTGTCAATCAAAGCAGTATTTGTTGATTCTTTTGCATTTTACATCTTCGTGCTTAACTTTTGGAAGTGAGTATAATTTGATCATTAACTAAGAGATATATTTTATAGAGGTAACCTCATGCAGTTATTTATCTTCCTTTTTCTAAGCATGACCGTCCGATGGAGCCCGGTAAGAGGCACTGGCTGGAGTGCCTCTTAGATTACCGGGCACTGCGCCACTAAGTTTAGTTTAGTTTCTAAGCATTTTTAGACTGAATTTTTCATAACAAATTATCAGTTAAACTTTGTAAAAAAAGCTTAATTTATTAATGACCTTTGTTAAGGGGACTCATACACCTTAAACCCCTCATGATCTTCGAATATGTGACTATTGCAAGAATTGGGATATTTTATTTATTTTAAAAGCAATTACTTCCAACGTTACAGCTGACTACATAATATAGCTGCTTTCTGAAATAGTAACCAGAACGTTTGTGTTGCCACAAATATTTTTGTAATTTAATCCTCTTTGTGACAAAATATTTCGACATGTTTCCACCTTGCGCGCATGATATCTTAAAAATGGCTAACGGTACATACTTGAAATTCGATGGAATTCTTTATATGGGCACTATTTTCTAACTGAACCAACAATCTGATAAATATTTTAATATTGAAAAATTTTATGGACGAAAACATTAATTTTTTTTAATAAAATACATTTTATAAACTCAACTCAAAATAAAATAAAAATTTTACATAAAATTTTTAGAATTTTAGGTTCACAGTATTTTCCAAATGTTATAAAAGCTATATATTAAATATTGAATTAAATTATGCAACAGAAGGTTTTAAACTGTGCGCGCAAGTTGAAACATGACGAAAACTGTTGTCACAAAGCGGATTAAATTATCAAAATATTTGTGGCAACACAAACCTTCTGATTACTATTTCAGAAAGCAGCTATATTATGTAGTCAGCTGTAAAAAGTTGGTAGTAATTGCTTTTAAAATAAATAAATTATCCCAATTCTTGCAACAATCACCTATTCGAACATCTTATGGGTTTTAAGGTGTATGAGTCCCCTTAATTAACTATATAAATTTAAAATTCTTTTAAGCCTTTTAAGTTGCATTAATTTTCTACTCATGAATTCAATTAATTATAAATTAAATTGTTCAAACTGTGTTATCCGGCCATTTAACTTTAACACCAAGATTTAGAGACATAAAATGTCTCACGTCTTAGTCTTATCTCATGGCTTTACGACCTTATACTTCCTTTTGTACAGTTGTTACGTTAATTTTAAAGTGTAATTCAGGTGCTTAGCGTTGCACTGAGCACGAAATTCGTCAAACCAATACAAATTATCGATATGTAGCACAGCTGTTCAAGCAAGACTGCAAGATTTGATAAACTGTAATAGAAACTATCTAATATAATTTCAAACAAGTGAATACGACTCAGTAATTTGCAGCAACCTTCTTTCCAACATAGATCTTTTGCTTTACTGTCCTATGATTGATATGAAGTTAATCAGTGTAAGAACACTTTGAATTGTATCGATATATGGTTCAAACATGAGTAAAAGCTATATTTACAATATCTAGAATCTGATAATGTTCAAACCAAGGACAATCAAAATAAATATCATTTATTTGTAACCAATACGGGAAATCTACGACAGAGATTTGAAGAGTAATTTGGATATTTTATCTCTCTTCATTAAGGTAGCATAATATAAAATAAAATAGCCTTTTTTACCAGGTTAAATGGTTATTTATGACTTCATTAAAGGCACTGACAATTTTTTTAATATTAAGTGTACCTGTATCGCTTCCAGGTGTAAGTAAAGGTATTTCAACTATACCTTCGAAGTCTTTTCGAATGTATTGGTAAGAATCTGTAAAAAAAAAAAATAAATAAATAAATAAAAAAAATAAGAAAATAAGAATAAATAAAGGAATAAATAGATGACCATAATGTGATACGGTAATTTACTTTGTATTTATGTGTGTAATTGCTTTGTCTTGTTACAGAACAGAACTCAGATAGTACACCAGAATTATGCTACGTTGCAGTTTGTATCATGGTGTAGTATAGGGTTATTTTAGAGACTCTAATTTATTCTTGTAGTATTTTGTGCTCGAATGTTCCGAGTTGCATCACTTGTTTAATAACAAAATGTCAGAATTTGTTCTTTGTTTCGGAATATTTCATAATAACATACTTATTTGTCACTATTCTGTATTTTATATAATATGTCAATAGCATTAAATTTCTAATACTAAACAAATTTTTACTGCTGTCGGAAGCATCTTATGAGAAATGACTCCCGAATCTCGAAAACCAGAAAAATTTTTATTTGCAGATATTATTCGCGACATAACCTAGATTTATGTAAAAGTTCTGGAAAAAAAATTATATTACTTTTAAGTCTAACTGAATGTGATCCCTGATCATATTTATGTATTTTTAAAGCTGAAATTTAATCTTAATTAATTTATTTATTTTGTGTAATTCTGCATAATTAGTTTAAAAACCATTCTGTTTCCTGTTTAGGTTTCCTGAATTGATTAAAGAGATTTACTTCAGAAACTGCATTTCATTAATAACGTCTTCGGCCTGTGTTAATTATGCCATTGGGTACGTGCAAAAGCTCTACCCGTTTTTGGTTTGAATATGGAAGTGAGAATAACATAAACTGGAGCTCACTTAGAACTGTGCATAATCATCATCTTACTGTGCATATCCCTTGCCATCTTTTCCCTGTAGAAATGAATGTCACAGCGATAAAACTCCTAGGAACTGGCTGCTTCGACTGCTATGATTCTTGCAGCACATCCAGTCGTTTACAATAGAAAGTTGCATTAGTGGTTCTATTAGGCTCCAGAAGCTACCAATAATTATTCTTTTCACACACCACCGCACACTCAACAACACTTTACTCAACAACACAACTTCTTAGGATGCAGTTCTTGGTTAGACTTCGATAACGGCAGTTCAGAAATGCGGTATATATTCCTGTGAGGCTTCACGTTCTAGTACATAGCCCACTTCTCATCTCCTGGGATAATCCGTGTCCAGAAATGCTCATTTTTGTACCGAGAAAGCAAGGGAACACATGTCGTGACTCACTGCTCTCGATGAGTTGCTCTCAGCTGATACAGAACCCAACTACTGAACTTGTAAAATTTAGAGCCATAAGCCGTCTTTCCAAGGTCTCTGCTAATTTCTCTACAGTTGGATACAGTTGGATTCCAGATTCTTTTCGGAAAACGCTGATAGACGCCCAGACCGTGGTTGACCTTGACAACTTCAGACGTCATTCTTGAATTTTCGAAACCAGCGACGACATGTGCTTTTGTCAGTTGCATTCTCACACTTGTTGCACACTTGTCTAATTCTGGGACAGGCTAAGGCCGCAGTACTTTATCAAACTCAAAAGAGTAAACATTGTCTGGCGTGTTCTTTATTGGTCTGCGTTTGATAGATACTTTCCAGTTCGATTCACTAGTCAATACTCATCGCCTACTGCTGCTCCAATGTTCTCCCAGTAACAATACCTCAGATTCCAGTTCTTGGAGCCGCATCTACTACGCCAGAACACTTTTCTCCAGAGACCTATCACAAACATGTATAACTTTTGAACGTACCTAATAGTAATAGTCTGTTTTCGCTTGCATTCTTTCATTTTGTAGTTAGCTTATATTTTCTTCCTTTTTACGTAGAATTTTGAATACCACAGAAATTAAAAAAAAAAAAAAAAACATACATTTTATTATTTTATACTGATATAATATACTCGATCATTTTTTAATAAATTTAATTTAATTTACTGTATTTTTGTTTGTATTTTTAATTTGCTTCTGATGTAGGAGTTGAACTGTGTACTTTTTTTTGCATGCGTTTTGAGTATATAACTGCTGAGCTTATTTGTATTTAAAAAAAAAACATATTCTTTTCTTGTTTAAGCTTCCTTTACTTAACATTTTCCTTTCAAACTTTATTTTTTTTTAATATTTTTATATTAAAACGTTATTAAACATTATTTTATGTTATTTGCATTGATTTATTCATTAGTGCACTGCATATAAGTGTCAGAGTCTAACATATTAGCATAACAAACAATAACACGCAATCAAAAGCGAACTAATCAGCCGTATATTAAGACAACTTTCTCTTAATAACTGATTATATTATAAGTACTACGAAACTTTATAAGCACTATAGTAATAGTATAGTTACTCTATAAATACATAGTATACACTATAGTAATAGTATAGTTACTCTATAAATACATAGTATACACTATGATAATACTGATCAGCCATGTATTAAGACAACTTTCTCCTAATAACTGACTATATTATAAATACTATAAAATTTTATAAATACTATTGTAATACTATAGTTATTCTATAAATACATAGTATACACTATGATAATACTGATCAGCCGTGTATTAAGTCAACTTTCTCCTAATAACTTACTATATTATAAGTACTATAAAATTTTATAAATACTAGAGCAATACTAGTATAAAATAAAACTTGAAAAATAAAGCTTTGTATCAAAACAATCCAAATTGTTTTAAAATCACGAAACAGTGTTTGTGATTCACTCGAATATATCAAAAGATAAAGCTGGACAAACTCCATTCTTTAGAACTGCAAATAGTAGATTAGATTTGTGATGTTGAAGAATAGGGTGGCAAAACAATTATTTTGCATCTCAAAGCAAAATTTCAACACGTGCCATAGGTTCGGTAACAAATTATCTTCTAAAAATAATAAATATCGTTTCGCTTCCGAGATTTCAGCGAAAATGACATAAAAACTGCATTCATCTTGTCAGTTTTACGCTTTTATTTCTCAAAGACAGGCTTTGCACGGAGGAAAAGGAATGAATTTTTATAAATAGAATTCTGTTGCTAAGAAATTTTATTTTTAGGAAAAGTAACGAATCGCGGTCGTTGACAGTTTTCTTCCCGAACACTAACACGCTAGATGTTAAAAATGGAGACTTTCATTTGCACGAAAAAGAGACTTTTCGTGCAAATGAAAACTTAAATAGGACTAAAATTAGCAAATCAACTACACGCATAAAATTTTAAAACTTTTACCAGAAAACAGAAATATAGCGTGACTTACTTTCGAAACAGACAAAGCAAATTTTTCTCTAACAATAATTTTGCTCATCACAATAAAAAAGCTATGTTTATTGTTTATGCTAATCATAATATAAAAAACATGTTTCATATGTTTTCTTATGCCCGTATTACTTTTCTTATGTAAATATAAGAAGAAAATTAATATTTGTTGACAGCTATTCCGTATTTGAGTTAAGATAAATTGAATAAGTTAATAGTTTGGAAACATATTTCTTTGCTGCGTTAAACATTATACGAATCAAACTAAAATACTGGGCATAAATTTCCAGATACAAAGCGATACCTGTTGGAATATGAACGTCATGACTGCTCTTTCAAAGAAAACTTTCTTGAAATCTTTCTCGAAATATTTAAATGAGAAGGAACGTTGATTGATAAGTTTACGCTAGTATTTTCTCTAAAAGCAAAATATTGCAGCTATTTTTTTTTTCGAAGTACAATGTATATTATTAGAAAATAATACATGACAAGCAATTAGTATTAACAGTCATAATTGCAATAAGGATATTATTATAATTATATACACATATTGGCCTATTAAATACTGCTATTCGCCTCGACATAAACACTTAGTAAAGAGGGTGTTAATAGATTTTTAAAACGCTTTCGCTAAAGAAAAAAAATCTGATGTGTACACCACATGACTTCCTTGTATGGCATATTAAATTATACGCATTTTTTCTTGCATTTCATTTAAACTTATTGGATTGAATTAAATCTACTTCGCCGACAGCGCATAAACCACAATAGAATAAATGCATTCTTTAAAATTCACTCTTGTATTTGTTTACCATAGCGACACTCTGGCGCTAGATTCACTTAACAGTATTATATTTTTCCTATTATAACTCATAATGCACAAAATTTAATCATTTAAAGAATAGAGATTTATCTAATCGTTGCCACATGTTCTATTCAAATACTATAATAAGCTAGAATGATGCATAAAGAAATTAAAAAACAAACAAAAAAGAAAGTTTTTCACAGACAATTGAGTATTTCTCATTCAATTAATTCAGTTCTCACTTCGCGAGAAGGCAAAAATCATAAAAAGTCAAATACTATATTAAAAATTATAACTAAATCTTAAACACTTATTTTCTCGAAAATTTCCAGAAAGGATAAAGCATGATTTAATTGGCAATAATAATGAAGGCGTTATCTTTGTTGTTTCGAAGCTAAGTTTCTCTAGATTGGCAACAAATCCACAGTCTGCTGTTTTCAAATGTAAACAACAATGGCGCCATTAAAAAAAAAAATGATGTGTACAACCACATGACTTCTTGTACGGAATATTAAATTATACGCATTTTTTCTTGAATTTCATTGAAATTCATTGGATTGAATTAAATCTACTTCGTCGACAGCGCATAAACCACAATAGAATAAATGCACTCTTTGAAATTCACTAATTTGTTTACTATAACGACACTCTGAATGCACAAAATTTATATCATTTGAAGAATTATGGTTGCCACATGTTCTATTTCAAATACTATAATATAAAGCTAAAACGATGTATGAAAGAAATTAAGCAAACAAAACAGAAAGAAACAGTTTTTCACAGACGATTTAGTATTTCTCATTCAATTAATTCAGCTCTCACTTCGCGACAAGGCAAAAAATACATAAAAACTCAAAATATCTGCATTAAAAATTACGAGAAAAATCTTAAACACTTATTTCCTCGAAAAATTCCATAAAGAATAAGCATGATTAATTCGCAATAA